GTTCATGCCACAGCTCCGACGTTTGCCCTCAGGCAGAGCGACGCCCAAAGCCCGTCTTCATCGAATCCCCGAAGCTACCAGTCGCCCTTCGCTGCCCGCGCCCGCCCATCGCCGACCCAGCCCAAGGCCAGTCGGGACCGGCCGCCAATCAACTTCAAGGCCGCCGAGCTCAGCGCCAATCAGGGCTCGATCCAGCGCACGGCCGGCGGTTTCCTCTACTCGGCCCCGCCTTCCGAACAGCAGCGCAGCCAATCGGGGTACAACTACGACACCCCCTCTAAACCGGTCACCTGGGAGTGAGTACCCACAGGGACAGTGCGGCGATGTCGACGTGCGGCAGCGGCTGTGACGTCACTGGAGGCGGCGCTCGGCACCGACTGACAGCATGCGGCATGATGGCACGGCGGCTACAGCCTGCGGACCGGAGCAGCTGTGATGGCGCAAACGGCATGAGATGCGGGACTCGGGCTAGTCGGAGTAGCCCGCGTAACCTGTGTTTAATTGCGTGTTTGATGGTGTCCTTTTGAACAATCCGATCGGCGCTTGACGGTCTCACTGGCATCGTCGGTTAGGCTGGGCGGACCGTCGGCTGTGCTGGACGGCCTCACTGGCATCGTCGGTTGGGCTGGACGGTCTCGCCGGTGTCGTCGGTTAGGCTGGACGGTCTCACTGGCATCGTCGGTTGGGCTGGGCGGACCGTCGGCTGTGCTGGACGGCCTCACTGGCATCGTCGGCTAGGCTGGACGGTCTCGCCAGCATCGTCTGTTAGGATGAACGGTCTCGCCGGCATCGTCGGTTGGGCTGGACGGTCCCAACGGCATCGTTGGTTAGTCTGGACGGTCTCGCCGGCGTTTTCGGTTGGGCTGGACGGTCTCGCTGACGTCGTCGGTTGGGCTGGACGGTCTCGTCAGCATCGTCGGATGGACTGAACGGTCTCGCCGGCATCGTCGGTTAGGCTGGACGGCCTCGCCAGCGTTGTCGGCTGGGCCGGACGGTCTCGCCGGCGTTTTCGGTTGTGCTGGACGGTCTCGCCAGCACCGTCGGCTAGGCTGGACGGCCTCGCCGGCGTCGTCCGTTGGGCTGGACGGTCTCGCCGGCGTTTTCGGTTGGGCTGGACAGTCTCACCGGCGTTGTCGGCTAGGCTGGACGGTCTCGCCGGCGTTTTCGGTTGGGCTGGACGGTCTCGCCGGCGTTGTCGGTTGGGCTGGACGGTCTCGCCAGCATCGTCCGTTAGGCTAGACGGGAGAAGCGAAACCCGATAGCTCAGATTCAGTGGCAGGTAACTTCCTAAAATTATTAGAATTCAATTTGGCTGGTGACTGGTGAATTCCAGCATCTCGGCACCGAAACCACTTCGCACTCTTGCACAAGTCAGCTGAATGTTTGCCACTTGGAAGCTACTACAGTTACACAATCGTTACACCATAACGTTGGCGTGGTAACCAGACAGGGACGAACATGGCTGCATGCGCCTGCTTACACAAGAGTCAGGTTTACATCACTAATGCTGTCTAATTGGTGCGCCCAAATGCAGTCATGGTGACGTCACTCCACGGCGTCAAGCTGATGTCTTGTAGGTCGGTTGGACGTCGCTTGCCGTTACGGTTGTCAAGCCCCAGATCAGGTTTCAACTACACACATATTCTGGGTATGAAACGTCAGTCACTGCTGATGCTACAGTACCACAAGGAAAAGGGCAACTTTAGAGGTTCTCCGTAAATTTTGCTACCCACTTTTGTCTATTTTCTAACCTCTTCTCTCCCTGGTTGCGCACTGGTTACCCCTGGCGAACCCTTGCCACTTGGTTACGCCGTGTTTAGCGTGATGTTCCAAAAACGTAACGTCTATTTGGGATATGGTTGATGTAGAGATGCGAAACAAAAACGTGCGTGCCGATTGTCAGAACCGGAAGACAACGGCATCTGGCTGGTAGACTTGAATGCTTCGAAAAATAATTTTGCATGATTCGTAACCACGCCTGAACGTAACGTTACGCTCTGCACCCAAGTAAGCAAGCAAATGTTTTATTCTTCCTGGCAGTCTAGCAATGTCAAGTCAGTGATGTCAGTCAGATGATCAGTTGAGCTAAATTCCTGTTGCCCGAAGTACGCAAAAAAGACACGATATGCATGGAGCATGCAAGTACAAATGTTTGCTCACATGAAAGCGTATGCTAAGGGTGCTTTGCTTTGCATGAATTCCAGAGACTTAAGTTCGGTATGTCGCGTAGTATGTAGATATGCATAGAATTGCAGGTGTTCAGCTGACCTTGGCGGAACGTTGTTCGTTCTCACCGGCGATGACCATTTTCTAAGGTAACAAATCGTACTTTTCAACATCACGGCAAGGCCTGGGTCCACAATGTAAAATGCCACGCCGACTCGGTCAGCTATCCACATCGCGCACATGATGTTGTGGAGAGGGCGAGCAGATGCGCGTCACACGACAGACTCATAACGTCGGGGATTTTCACTAACTGTGTTTCAGGTACGGTTTCTCCATCGCCCGCCAGAAGCGCCAAGCGGACTCCTCCGAAGGTTCTCAGCTCTGCCCCACCTCAGGTAACTCGCTGAACAGGTAACTCGCTCAGGTAACTCGCTCAGGTAATTCACTGAACAGGTAACTTGCTCAGGTAACTCGCTCTAGTAACTCGCTGAGCAGGTAACTCGCTCAGGTAACTCGCTCTGGTAACTCGCTGGACAGTTAGCTCGCTCAGGTAACTCGCTCTGTAACTCAAGTAACTCTGTTCCACCTCAGGTAACTCCCTCAGGTAACTCGCCCCGAACTGAGCCTGACGACTGAGCTGAGATCTTAGTCTGAAAACTGAAAACTGAGTCTGAGAACTGAGCCTGAGAACTGTGTGAGAAGTGAGCCTCAAAACCTAATGAGAACTTAGTCTGAGAACTGAGTCTGAGAACTGAGTCTAAGAACTGAGTCGGAAAACTGAGTCGGAAAAGTAAGTTTGAGAATTGACTGAGAACTGAGCCTCAGAACTGAGAACTAGACAGAGAACTGTGTGAGAACTGAGAACTGGGAGGCGTCACCCGGCATTGAAGTAACGTGCAGTGCGGACGGCTCTACGAGTCCGTTAGGCACAAACAATATGCAAGCTTCATCTCCCAAATAGAGGGGCGAGGCTTCCTGAACAAAATTTGCAAACTCCTGCGGTCTATGAACCAGAATTCGCTGTCATCAGGCTGATGTAACAATTCGATTCAATTTGACGTGTTTTTGAGAAACGAGGTGCAATGCCAAGAACATTGTGCGCCTCCGTATCTTGCTGGGGAGGATCAACGCCAATTACGAGTTTTTAGTCCGCTCGTATGGAAATTGAAGCTCCTTTCCTCAATAACCTCGACGGGTTGTGGTTATTCAAACATCCGGTATCCTACGTTTTCTATCTCTCCTATCCTATCCTATCTTTCCTATCCTATCCTATCCTATCTTTCCTATCCTATCCTATCTTTCGTTTTATAGAATAAAGCCCGCTTAATATACGAACGCCATGACATGCTCTTTACTGGCGCTTTTTTGTGTATGTACTTGCATCAAAGAAAGGAAAAAGTATGGTTGTTGAATTATATTTTCAGCTACTTCAGCTTTGGTGGGTCAGAATTTTCTGGCCTGTTTTTGCATTTTGGCGATATTCTTCAGCAGATTAGTGCGAAATTTGGGTCTACTCATCGCGACCTCAACACTGGATCCTCCAGGATACCAGTACAGTATGCTAGTCCTAGCATCATGGGGCCTAAAAGATTGTCCGCACTCTTAACTGATTTTGATTCTGTACTATGATGATCGGTGATGTGTTCAGCTTTATTTTTGGGAAGCGGGTGTATCAATATTTGTGTACGTCCACGGTGGAGCCATTTTTCACTATCTGGCGCATAATGTCACCAAGCTGCAAGAAGCGGCCAGGACATTTCTCACTCACTAAAGCTGGAACAGCTGAAAAGCATCCTTCCACAAATACCCAGCGCTTAGAAAAGCAAAACAACAGGGCACGTATAACTGTGTCGACAAGGAGAGACAGGACGCTTTGTCAGGACATATATACATACATACATAAATGAATGAATAATATATATATAATATATATATAATATATATATATATATATATATATATATATATATATATTATTGAATACATATTCAAGTTTACAAAACGCATCATATACATACACGAATATATATATTATATATATATATAGATATATATATATATATAAATATATATATATATCTCTCTCTCTCTCTCTCTCTCTCTCTCTCCGTCTCTCTCTCCTCTCTCTCTCTCTCTCTCTCTCTCCTCTTTATCTATCATATCTATCTATCTATATATATATATATATATATATATATATATATATATATATATATATATATAGGCGGGGCTGTCCCACGGTCGATCCAGAGGCCCTTAGAGGAATGCATCATATGATCTAGGTTCCCCCCCCTGATGCCTCCTAACCCGCGTAGTTGGATACTGACGCAGGAACCCACATTGACGCAAAAAGATCCCTGATCCCCGCAGGTGGTCCCATGATTGAAATGCAGATCCCAGTCGTTCGGGCCCTTCAGGCTCTTCAGCCTTCTAATTTGGCCCTAGGTCTATGGTCCTGAGTGTTCGTCGGTCCCTCTTCGGGCCTTCTCAAACAAGGCCCGTGACCGACTCGCAGTCACCTGCCGACACATGACCCCTGACCTCTGGCCGGCACAGAGGCCCTCATTGTTTCAGGGATCCAGACTGTTGCAGTTCGCGGGTTGCGGCCTTGCTGTTGTTTGAGAAATGGGCCCCCAAGCCCCAGACCGGCACGGAGCCGACTGTTCGGTGTCCGTAGCTTCTGGCCGGCATAGAATCCTGCATTGTCTCTGGAGTCCTCAACTGGTGCAAGAAGCCCTCTGACTGTCATTTGAGGGCCCAGTCCCACGGGCCAGGGCTCCTAAATATGACTCCAGCCATCTATTCCTACCCTTAGGCCCTTCAATCGGACCATTGATCGTCGGTTCCAGCGGGCCGTCCGGTCTCTCTTCGGGCCTCCTCGAACACTGTCTCTCACCGATTCGGGCCCCCTTGCCAACACAGGCGTGGCCCCTGCTTGGGAAATGTGCCCTCAGACCCATACCGACACGGAGCCAACTGTGCGGCACTGATGGTGTCTGACCATCATCTAGGCCCTCATCGACCCAGGGGGCCCCCGATCGGCGCAAAGGGCCCCAGGGCTCTCGGGGCCCCTCAGGGACACGTACCCTTGTGCTCCTTGCCTCCACCATTACACAGGGCAAGCGAAAAGGACCCAACACCAATGTGATGGACTCCTGAACGATCGGGAGCGTCCGGCGTGTTGCCATGTTGCCATAGCATGTTGCCCCTGGCTAGAGCCCCGGCCAGAGTGCAGGACCCTCCGAGCAGACGAGAGGAGCACAGTGTCCCTACACAATGGCCCTGATAAATCAAGAGTGCCCCGGCGTGTTAGCTAGTAGGGCCCAACAGCAGCGTGGGGCTCTCCGACCAAATGCAAAGAGATCAAGGGCAACATGGAAGGCTCCTTAACGATCGGATTGACCTGGCGAGTGAACACCAGGGCCCCGGGAACAGTGCAAGGCCTCTGGACAATCTAATGAGACCCACAACATCTCTAAATAACCACCCTTTCAATCAGTGAATAACTATTTTTGTCTGTTCACGGGCCCTTCACTTTTGCTTGCGACCATTCTTGGTCGTCTGGAGGCCAAACACGTCCAATTTGATTGTGCTTTGTTCTAAAAAAAAAACTACGTTTGTACGGTTGGCTACGGGCTCCTTTGGAGTCGACGGGCTCCTTCGGGCCCAAAGGGGCATGGCCCCGCGCCCCCTCTCCTCTGGATCTGCCACTGCATAACAATGTATTCCATGAACCCAAGACCATGGGTGGGTAAGACGTCAAATGACGTAGCGCTCGTCTTCGAGAGTAGCTCCTCATGAGCAAAGCTCAAAACACGACAAATTCGGACCATCTGCCATGCCCTCTGATTGGTTCTCAGGCCAGTTCGTCACGCCAAAGGCGGGGCTTAACAACCGCGGCGAGTGGAGGTTCGTCGTCAACATGGAAGAGCTAGACGTGCGCTACACTCAGCTGGTTCGCGCCGAGCGCTGCATGTGAGTCCACCGGCCGGGCCGACCGACCAATGGCGACACGCCTCTGAGGTATGACGCCACAATGACGTCGGAAGTCCGTAACGCTGTAGGTCAGCTGCGTGATCATCTCTCTGCTGTGGTTTTAGCATTGCTCGATGGGCCTTGTGACGGGAAAACAACGCCGGCCTACCGATGATCATGACGTCGGCCTACCGATGATCATAACGTCGACCTACCGATGGTCATAACGCCGGCCTACCGATGATCATAACGCCGGCCTACCGATGGTCATAGCGCCGGCCTACCGATGATCATGACGCCGGCCTACCGATGATCATGACGTCGGCCTACCGATGATCATAACGTCGACCTACCGATGGTCATAACGCCAGCCTACCGATGATCATAACGCCGGCCTACCGATGATCATAATGCTGGCCTACCGATGGTCATAGCGCTGGCCTACCGATGGTCATAATGCCGGCCTACCGATGGTCATAGCGCCGGCCTACCGATAGTCATAACGTCGGCCTACCGATAGTCATAACGCCAGCCTACCGATTATCATAACGCCGGCCTACCGATAGTCATAACACCGGCCTACCAATGATCATAACGCCGGCTTACCAATAATCATAACGCCGGCCTACCGGTAGTCATAACGCGGCCTACCGATGGTCGTAACGCCGGCCTACCGATGGTCATAAGGCCGGCCTACCGATAGTCATAATGCCGGCCTACCGATGGTCATAGCGCTGGCCTACGGATAGTCATAACGCCAGCCTACCGATGACCATAACGCCGGCCTATCGATGGTATTATATTTGTCCAAGGAGTCCTTATCTATACGTTGATGAAGACTTACGATTCTCCCTTACCTCATTATATTAAAGCCTCAGGTTCAACGCCTTGGTAACGACACAAGCCTGTGGTGATGACACATTGCACCTGTAATTCTGAGATATCTGGGGCAGGCGAAAATGTGGCAGGAGGCATAAAACCGGTACCATGTCTTGAAAGATCCAACCTTTTCAAAATAAATTTACGTACTATTTTTGTGTTCGGTGAGTGCTTGGAGTGTTTATCTTTTTGGTACGTATGACAATGTCCTTGTAAACTAGAATTGGCCGCAACATGGAACGGCGTCCCTAGAAAGCCCGCTTTTTAAACTATAGTCGGCGATCCAGTATGTAACACTGGGCTACAGCGAGTTCATCAGTGTTAGCTTAAATCGTTCTCTGGTGTCAATGATATGTTAACAATTTGATCGAACCTTCGTGACATCTATCGAATCGATGTTGTGAAGAAAGCATCCATGGCATCTAATGAGATCCGACATTCTTCCAGGACGTATGCATGGTGCCGGGCCAAGAACGTTGACTCTCGTGAAGTTCAGGGGCCACCCGTCTGTATCACATGCCTTGTTCTGTGACGTCTGTGGTGACCTCTCCCTGCCACCCACCTTGTCCAATGACCTCTCCCAGCCCCCTCTTGTCCGTTGCGGTCAGTTGTGACCTCTCCCAGCCACCCCTTGTCCATTGAGGTCAGGTGTGACCGCTCCCGGCCACCCCCTCATCCGGTGACGTCTGTGGTGACCTCTGACCCGTCCGTGTGGTGCCATCTTTGATGACCTCTGCTGTTACCCCAGATCGGACCGCTGCTTGGGTCTTTGCACAGTTCCTGCGGGCATGGCGGCCACGTGCCAGCAGCAGTACGTGCAGAAGAAGATGGTGGGCCTTGACCCAAGTGGCTCGCAAGTCTACACCGACCTTTACTGGATACCGCACTGTTGCGTCTGTCAGATTAGCTAGCCGCCGGCCGGGCTCGATCCCCGCTGGAGAGCGGGCGCCGCCGGCCGGGCTCGATCCCCGCTGGAGAGCGGGCGCCGCCGGCCAGGCTCGATCCCCGCTGGTGAACGAGCGCCGCCGGTCGGGCTCGATCCCCGCTGGAGAGCGGGCGCCGCCGGCCAGGCTCGATCCCCGCTGGTGACCAGACGCCGCCGGCCAGGCTCGATCCTCGCTGGTGACGGAGCACCGCCGGCCGGGCCCGATCCGCACTGGTAACGGAGCACCGCCGGCCGGGCCCGATCAGCGCTGGTGCCGAGGTGCCGCCGGCCGGGCGGAACACGACAGGAGGAGGAGGGCGCGGGGAGGTGACACGGCTCGAGTGGGGCGCCGTCGCCGACGGCACCCGCTGAAGGAGGGTGGATCGGAACTCGAGAGTTAGGTCTAATGGGTGTCGTTAAGTCTAATGTGTGCCGTTAGATCTGATGAGTGCCATTAGGTCTAGTGAGTGCCGTTAGGTCTAATGAATGCCGTTAGATCTAGTGAGTGCCATTAGGTCCGATGAGTGCCGTTAGGTCTAGTGAGTGCCGTTAGGTCTAATGAATGTCTTTAGGTCTGGTGAGTGCTGTGTGTGTATGTGGGGGCGCGCCAGGTGGCCGGCACACCGCGGGCCAGCCGTCGACGGAGGGGGCGCTGGTGTCGCCTCTGTCCGCCTGGCGCCCACGCGACGCTGTCAGGACTGTGATGGATGGGTGTGGCCTATCACCTGCCCCCCCCCCCTCACCGTGGGCGCACCCCCCACCAGTCGTCGGTGTGATCGGTGTGTAAGAGATGTTCATGTTCGTCGAGCGTGATGCGGCATAGGCAATTACCGACGAGAACCGCTGATGAAGATCGGTGTAATCGATGTGATTTCGTGATCATCACCGGTGGCGTGATCTGTATACAATCGATTCTGCGCCGAAAGGCTCTGGTCCTCTCAATTCAGGCCCTTCCGTTCGGTGTGTATGTGCGTTTGAGGGAAGAGATGTGCTGCTTGCCCATCTCCCGAGCGTTTGCTATTTTTTGATGTCATATCTTTACATTTAAGAACAGGTAACGAGAATCCCTATGTAGTCGGTTAGTATTTCTTGGCCTCCAGCCGTCATGCCTGAAGTCCCCATTCATACCCACATCAATCAGACTTGTCTTCGACTCAAGAATAACTTGGAGCTGAATTTCATAGCACACAAAACCAGGCTTAGCAGGGGACGCCCCACAATTCCGGGCCGGCGGTGCCTAAGTTGGACGAGGAATTGAGTCGACCGTGTTTTTTTTTTAGTTGGTGTGAGCCATCATTGAGTCGACTCAAATAGTGTATAACATGACCCTAATAATATGTAAAACTGCATGCCGGATAAAAAACGCATACTGAATACAAAACTTTGCATCACACATTCTTTGATGTAATATAGCCATGCTGTACGAAAACAGCGGTCTATACGGCCAGAAAACATTTTTAGGGGCATACTTTTTGCCTCTCAAAGGCATGTCGGACATGCAGAGGCATGTGATTCGCCTCTTCTGTGCGCAGTCATCGAATTTGAACATGGTGAGCTTCAGTACGCGGCGCCAGAAGGATTCTTGAGCAGCCGAAGCTCGCGTGACACTGCCTGCTCTCGAAGCTGTCATTTGTCATTGTCAGTTCTCGAAAATGGCATTCTAATGCCACGGCCCGACACACGCTCCCCGACACCAGCGCCCTCGCGGACCGACCTGGCCGCGGGCCTGCTCTGCTCTTCTGTGAACTGCTCTACTGTTCAATGAACCGCTCTACTCTTTCGTGAACTGCTCTACTCTTCTGTGAACTGCTCTACTCTTCCGTGAACTGCTCTACTCTTCTGTGAACCGCTCTACTCTTCCGTGAACTGCTCTACTCTGCCGTGAACTGCTTTACTCTTTCGTGAACTGCTCTACTCTTTCGTGAACAGCTCTACTCTTTTCGAACTGCTCTTCCGTTTCGCTAACTACCCTACTGTTTCGTGAACTGCTCTACTCTTTCGTGAATTGCCGTACTCTTTCGTGAACTGCTCTACTCTTTCGTGAGCTGCTTTACGCTTTCGTGAACTGCTCTACTCTTTCGTGGACTGCTCTACCGTTTTGTGAAGAGCTGTATTTTTTCGCGAACTGCTCTACTCTTTCGTGAGCTGCTCTACACTTTCGTGAATCGCCGTACTCTTGATATATCTAATCGCGAGCTGCTCTACCCTTTTGTGAAGAATTCTACTTCTTCGCGAACTGCTCTACTCTTTCGTGGACTGCTCTACTCTTCCGTGAACTGCTCTACTCTTTCGTGAACTGCACTTCTCTTTCGCTAACTGCTCTACTGTTTTGTGAACTGCTCCACTGTTTCGTGAATTGCTGTACTCTTCCGTGAACAGCTCTTCTCTTTCGTGAACTGTGCTACTCCTTCGTGAACTGGTCTACTCTTTCGTGAACTGCTCAACTCTTTCGTGAACTATTCTTCTCTTTCGTTGTGCTGCGACGCTATCGTCGAAAGCCATCTCGCGGCGGCCTGAGGAGTACGCTGCGAGCCGCGGGCAGGTAGGTGCGGACGTTCAGGTGACGCTTCGACTGCTGGACCTTCTGAGGCTTTGTCCCATCTCACACAGCGTCCACCTGCAGGTTGGAAGATTCCCGAACACGCATTCCTAAGGAGAGAGACCGGCGTTCCTGTTGGTGTTTTTGTTGCAAAACAACGCTGCTGCGAGCGAGCATGTGGTCAGCATCGCGGGTGGTAGGCACTGAGTTTGACCACCACGTCGATGAGGACATTATGCCGTCGGCCTGAGCAGGGATTCTCCTGTGGATGGCACGCACGTGAGGTCAACCAACAAATGCCAAGAAAACGACGGAATTAATTCATGACGTTTCCAGTCAGATTTCTCCTGATGTCACTGCGCTTGCACTAAGGTATTCCGAAGGCTCTAATGACGCGATTCGTCAACGCTTTGACTTTCCCCATCTTGGTTACGAATGGGTACTGCCTCACTCGCTCCTCGCTCCTCGCGCACCTCCCCCAGTATCGTTGCCAACTGAGCTTTGAGCTGACTTGAAGAACTCCTCCGACTACGCTAAGGGGCGGATATCCAGGCTTTCGTCGAGAGGAGAAGGGCATGCAACACTGAGGCAGCCCCTTGGAGCTTGCCTGCAAAAAATATCCTTGTACCTCGGTCACTACCTTTTAAGAAAAGTGGTATGTAACACACACACACACACACACACACACACACACACATATATATACATATATATATATATATATATACATATATATGTACCATATATATATATATATGTGTATATATATATATATATATACATATATATGTATATATATACATATATATGTATATATATATATATATTTACATATATATATATATATACATATATATATATATATATATATATATATATATATATATATATATATACATATATATATATATATATATATATATATATATATATATATATATATATATATATATATATGCTTATTTATATGCGTGAATCTAGGTATATCGGTGTATATATTACGTATTTGTATGTATGCATTTACTTATTCACTTATTTCATAAATACGGAAACCCATCTTACTGTGCACAGCCCTATAAAGCTGGGTGTGCTACGCATGCACACTCATAGATCTCACTAATTTCCAACAGATTATGTTAGATGTCCTGATTCTGAGGCTTTGTGCTTCGGAACAACAGGCAAAATAAAGTTGAGTGAGAAGTTGAGTTAGCATCCAAAATATGCTAAGGACGTGATGCACTAGGATCATAAGTGTCATACAGTCAATGGCCAATGCAAATAGCACATACTACGTCGTCAGTATGTAAAATTGCGTTCGGCAATTTTGCGTAAACATTCATCGGGGCAAATTCGACTGCTGCTCTAAGACGAAGGCCCCAGGGCCAACAGGTACGGAACATGACCAATCACTGGTGCCGCGGAGGTCAACAAAGTGGCTCCCGTCAACAAGTTTAGGGTCCTCAGAGCAAGCAAAAAAAACCTTACATCAGCGTGTTTGGCCCTAAATGATCGGCAGTGCCTCGGTAGGCTGACACATCCCGACCAAAGCACGGGACCCTCTGAGCAAAGGGGAACTATCCAAGACCATGAATTAATACCTCTGTGCGATTAAGAGTCAACGGGCAGGTTTTCAACACGAGCCTCGATAGGATTGAAGAATCCTCCGCAAATGAGACCAAAGGAAGAGAACCCTCGATTAAAGTAGAGGGCCCTGAGCATCGAGTGTCTCCGTGCCCTACCTTACAACAGCCCTAGCAACAGCACGAGGCTCTTCAAGCAAGTGGAAAGAATCCAAGACCTATATGGAGGGCCCTGAGCAGCTGAGTGTACCCTAGCATATGAGGCCCCGCAAAAAGCGCGTAGAGCCTTTTGGGCAAATGGGTAGAATCTGTGGAGGAAAACCTGATCGATCAACAATGCTCAAGTATGGAGCTAGATAGCTTCCCAACGATACATTAGGCCCTCCCAAAAAATGCAAAGAGGTCAAAGGCAACGTGGAAAGCTCCTTAGCGATCATGTTGACCCGGCAAGTGGACATATAGGGCCAGGCAACCAACAGCGTAATGCCTCTAGCCAGGGTAATGAGCCCCAAAATTACCCCAAGCAACACGTTTTCAATCAATGTAGAATCAAAGGCATCGAGTTTTGCTGCGTTTTTGTGGTAAGAAAACTGCGTCTGTCCAGACGCTTATGAACCCCTTCGGAGCCTTTAGGTCCCCTCGGCATGGTCCATGGGGCATGGTTCCGCGCCTCTCTTCCCTCCTCTCCTCTCCTCTGCAACCACTACCGGCCCGAGCAGCTTAAAAGATGGGCCAGCCAAGAACATGGGCCATCCATTCAAAAAGGAAATACTAACGACACAATATGCAGGGCTCTGAACGATCGAGTGCACCCGAGCAGGTTAACAAATAGGGTTCCCATAAAAAGCGTAGAGCTCTCCATTAAAATAGGAGGTACCCAAGTGCCCGAACAGGTTAGCAGATGAGGCCCCTCCAGGAGTGCAGAGCCCCCCGTTCAGGTGCAAATTACCCGCGACATGATGTAGAGGGCCCCGAATAATCCAATGTGCGAGAGCAGACTAGGGCAGATAGGGCCCCGAAAAGAACGGAGGGCCCTCCATTCAAAAAGGAAGTGTCCAGAGCCAAATGTAGAGGTCCCCCACGGTCGAACGAGCCCGATCATCTTATCAGAACGGGCCTGACAGGAGCGTAAGGCCCTCCATTCCAATGAGAAATTCCCAAAACCCGGTGCGGAGCTCTCCCGAAAGATGGGGAGTAACCGAGCAGGTTATCAGATGACCCCGATAGGAGCAGAGGGCCCTAAATTAAAACACCAAGAACCAATGCGAAGGCCCCCGAGCAATCCAGTATGGTGGAGGGGGTGAACAGAGGGGGCCCCCGACAAGTGTGTAAGGCCCCATTCAAATAGCACGTGCCCAAGGCCCAATGTAGAGGGCCCCCGCACGATCGAATGTGCCCGAGCAGAAGAAGTACCCAAGACCCAGTGTGGAGGGTCCCGAAGAACTGAATGTGCCCAAGCAGGCCATCAGATGGTCCCCCGACAGGAGCGTAGGGTCCTAAGCAAGTGACAGAGAACTGGAAGCGCCCTAGACCAATGTTGAGGGCCCATGAGCGTATCGCAAGTATGCCGGTAGGTTAACCGAGACCCGCGTAAAGGGCCCCTGAGCAACCGAGAATACCCCGGCAGGTTAAAATATGGGACCCCGGCTATAGCCCATAGAGCCTCTCTGGCTCGTGATTGACAAGAGTGTCCGGCACGTTAGCAGGAGGGGCCCCAACGGCAGAACAGCGCCCACTGAGCAAATGCAAAAAACTAAATGGCAGCGTGGAATGCTGCTGCAAGTGGGCATATAGGTTCCCCCTGAAACAGCATCGTCACCTAGACTGTGTAATAAGGCTTAAAATCTCCAGTTTACAACTTTTCCAATCATTGAACATTTTTTGACTTTCCTTAGGCCATTTACTTTCGCTTACAACTGTTCCTGGCTGCCTGGAAGTCCAGCGTTATCCAATTTTGTTGCATTTTGTGCTTAAAAAACTGCACCTGCCCGGCGGGCTATTGGCCTCTTTGGAACCAATAAGCTCCTTCGGAGTCCATGGGGGTCTGTTTAATGGCCTTGGGGGGGATCATTGTCCCGTGTCCCCCCCCCCCCCCCCCGGATCCGTCCCTGACTACGCTACCACCGCGCTGTCTCGCTGTTATAGGGCCCCGCCTGCCAGCCCATGGCACCCCTAGCGGCGGCAGGTGTGATATTTTGCGGACTATACCAGTGGGTTTGTGCATTTGTAGTCCTCTTCTCCTTTCAGGGTTTGCCATTTGGGTGCGTTTTGTTCATTGTTATGTTATACTTTATTTTTGCATTCCATTTTGTCAGCATTGAAACCCATCTAAGTGGGTTGGAATGATAGTCAGTGTACCTGTCCTTGTATCTGTAGGTACTTTGTATGGTATAGATAGATATATGTGATCAGTGTGTGTGAATGTGGTGCAATGATTAATTGCATTTTGTTCATGCATTCTTTGCCAAGCAATATGTGCACTAGAAATAAATGTGGCAACAGTGACTTGCATCCAAACCTTGCCATGCTGGAGTAAAAAAAGATGATGTATGTGTATATATTTGATTATATATATACATTTTTTATTTATAAGCCATGAGTCTGGGTGGTGTGATTGATGAATTAGGAAGTGCTAATTTGTGTGTTATTCATGCTTCAGACTGAGTACCCTTTAATGGTGGAGGGGGAAGAAAAGGAAATCTTCACAAGGCCATGGTTGCTACCCAAATAATGGCAAAGGAAAAGGCAAACAAGACAAGAAGCAGGGCAAATGCCGTAGGAAAGGTTTGTGTGACCTGGCATTTGCAGGGCATGTGATTCCTAACTTTCCTTTTTTGTGACTTGTGTGTGAGGCATTGTTTATTATTATTACTTCAAAGGCTTCAAGGTAAAATTGTTTTATACACTGCAATGCATTTGCAGTGAGTGTAATACAATCAAGGTTTTTTCATTAGATCTTTAACTGTTAATTTTGATCCATGGTGCATCTCATCCAGATCTGGTAATTATGCTTATGTGAATTTGAAGTACTTTCAGCTCCATGTTTGCAATACTGTGTGTTATGATTAAAAAGTTTTTGATTGTAGTTAAGGGTATGCACGAATGGATCAAAACATCTTATATGGCATGACCTAAGGTGGCACATGTAGTAAGAGCAGTGCACAAATTTGTGTTGCAAAAATGTGTGAGGCAGCAAGTTTCACTTATTTTTACTCCATTTATACATGTTCATATGGCGAATTGAAATGGAAATTGGCTCAACATGATATCTATGAGGGGGAGATGTTATTGCACATGTGTGTTTATTTTGGAGGTGTCTCTGGGGGCCTATTTGTGTTGGTGTGGTACTGTGATGTGTCCATACACAGATGTGTGTGTTTGCATGCACTTGGCACAGTTGTTAGCATTGTTGGTTTTTCACTCGTATTAAGCTGTGTCTGCTGCTATTTTATGTATTTTTCATGTCATTTGGGACATTTGGATCAATAGGATGTATATGGATAGCTTGGGTTTTAATTTTTGTGTTGTGGATGATTGGTAAAAAATAGGTAGCACTCATTTCATCCAGCATATTCTTTTCAGCTAAACACAGTTGTCCCAGCCAATCATCAGCAAAGTCTCACATGCCCACTTTTGGGTCAGAACATGGAGCAGGTATGTGCTAAGGGAGATGCAGTCAACATTGTCAGTTTCATCAGCTTTGGGCTTTATGGAGCATTCAGTTGTTGAGGCCATGTGGAGTCATGTGTCTTTGACCCTGGTAGGAGGGGTGAGCACCACATGGAAGCTGGCACCTGGGGAATGCAGGAGAAACCCTGTATCACTAGTTTTCTGGGTATGCAGACTGGCTATTACCCACTCTTGCATCATTTTGCATGGCTATGCATTTGCATAGGAAACAACTCAAGGGTTTCTAATCAAGGCTTTCCCTCACCTGAGATGAGATGTGAAGTTTGCTGCCAGGGCAAAGCTCCTTAATTGGTATTGATGCTTGCCTTGTTAATAGGTTTGCATCCACCACAGTTTTGCATTGTCTCTCAGTCTCATTGCTGAACAGACACGTCTATACAGTGTTCCCTTCCCCTTCCTAAGAAACTAGGTATCTCACAACCACATAATGTCATGGAATCTGGGATGTAGTCAAGGATGTCAGGGAATGTTTTGAGACCTGTGTGAGCGCATGTACCAGGAGTTACAGAGAGGAAAGTAGGACGAAGCTAGCTGCAGCAAGTGAAAGTGATGGGCAGGTGTGCCCACGTTTGCCAATCACGTGGTAATTGGCATTCCAGAGCCGGATAACTCCGAAGATCCGGATAGACCGAAGGAAGACCGACCGACCGGATTGATCGAAGATGTGGGCATAGCGCGAAGAGACGGAGGCCAAACGTTGGGAGGAAGTCAGGAGGGGGCTATTTGATGATGCCGTAGCTGCTCGTGCTGTGCCGAGTCCGGGTGAGGTGCGAAGGCATGACACAATTGGTTTAGTAAGCCACCAGCAGCAGTTCGTTGCATGTAAGAGGTGGGCTTCTTAGGGCATTTAGGACCGGGCGTAATCCGCCGGCGCACAGCCTTTTGTGAAATGCCGGCTTACTGTGTGCTGTTCTGCTCATTTCGTTGGCGTGGTCTCGCCACCACGCGGGCGTCTATGTGTGTCAGTCCGGTCCTCTGCCGGTCAGTCAGCTTTTCCTGACCGGCTGCATGAGTAAAGACGAATTTTAATGCATTTCGTTTCCTATATGCTTGCACGCCCAATATCTGGCATGATTGAAATCCTGAAACACCAACATGTTTCCTTGGTCTTGGGGGAGCATTATGTTATCCATGTTTTCACCAAAGTGTTCCTTTATTCTTTGGGGGAGGGGGGACATTGTGTTATCTACGCTGTTGGCATGAAACTTTAGTCGGATTACCCTGGTGCCCGGGTAAAGAAGGTATTTTAAGAGGATAGCAGCCAGCCAGCCAGATGACCTTATGTACGTGGTTGTGCGTATGTCGAACCAGCGGCCCTTGAATCGGTTATTGTTGCGGAGGATTTAAAACCGAACAAGTGAATTTCTCTATGTTTATCTGGCTTTTGTTATGTAACGCCGCATTTTTAAGTGCTTTTAAGATACTGTTGTTGTTTCAGGATTGACTTGCTCGCTTTGCGAGAGTCTTGCGAGTGTAAGCTGCGGGAACTGCCCGGGGGGCGGCACTGTGCCACCATTGTGATGTTGAAGAGCACACCATGCAGCCATTTCACGCCAGGCGGCAGTGGGCGTCTGGGTTTATGCAGACTTTGGCTGCAGGTACTTCTGTTACATCAGCGGGAGGGTTCATCCAGTTCGGTGAGTGTCTTAAGAATGATTATCTTACTGAAATGGGTAGAATTATTTTGGATTGGTAATTATCATTTTTACCACCGCCTATGTCCAGTATACATTATGGTATGTGGGCTATTTTTCAAGAATTTTGAACAGGGTTCGGGGACCAGTAAGCTTAAATTGTGCTTAATTTGTGAAGTTTCCATTTGAAAAGGCCCGGCCCATCCTGGTTGTCGTGTGTTTGGGAGTTATTATGCAGCCAGTGAACGCAGGCTCACATCATCTTCAGCAACAAGGGCAATGCCGCCAAGTTTGTGGTTCATAGATTGTTAGTCATCTGCGCTCCAAGCATTTCATCTGGCGTGCTGTTGGCTACAACATCGTAACAGGACCAAAAGTTTACCTCCTCCATCCGATTAACATGCAGGTGGTAATTTGTATTGTGTAAGAAGTTAAAGCAAAAGTCAAAGCCAAATCTGGATCTGGGCAATGCGGCGTTGTAGCGACATGACCAGTAACGAACGGAGACGAAAACGGACATTTGCACTGACAAAAGTGTTGGTCCTTGTGCGTAGACGAACACGCAAAGTCGTGTGCATGTCATATATCCGTCTGTTTTTCGACATTTTTAAGCAATATTGACCCGAACTAAGAAAGAAATAAAACCATCAACGCAGTGTGGGCACATGTACCAGATCAATTCGTTAACGGATCTCAAAGCTGTCTTGACTCATATGCGCGTCAGTTATGGACCCAATAGCGGCAAATAACACCTTTTTAACCAAATCCACACAGAATACGCGACGCTTCGCCCCAGAAGATAACAATTGTTCAATGAAAATTAACATATAGTCACTTGTATGATACATATACACCAGAAATACCTGCGGTACTTCGGTCATAACTGTCTAGAACTCACGTCAGTGCGAATTAGTCATTGTCGATTATAATTGCCAAGCGTAACCAGACCCTAGAGCGGAACATTTTCAGGCAAAACCATCGTGCATAAGCGCGCTAAAGCTACATCAGCAGACCTTCACGTGTTCATTTAGGTAGACACGCCAATACGCTGATCAAATCAATTGGTGTTGTGTGCCGGTGGCGTCCGGGGCCACGTGCGTGATTACAGCTATTAACTCGCATATGTTATCCAAGCGCCCAGCCCACGTCGCACAAGATGTGGGCCATGTCCATGTGTATTAGCAGCATTGTGGACCCCGTAAGGCATCCCTGTTGCCTCCACTAGATTTGAGAACACGGTACAGATGATTGTAGATCTTGATTTCTTTATGGACCCGTTTATGACGGTTTTGTGTTTCCCAGCAGGAAAGTTTTCATCACATGTGTGTCTCGCTCGCTCTAGTAACTGGTTAGGTGCAATTGGGTAGCAACAGGTGCGTTTTACAGGCTCGAAAAGCGCTCAAATTCTGTCACTGTCCTTGAGATGTGTCCATGGAATGTTACCGTTATTTCGTAGAAATATAAATCCACAAATCAAATAATTCATCGTGTGGTGTCTTTCAGATCCGGTTCTGCCGCTGCATGCGCGCAAGAAGGCCTGTGAAGCCTGTTCATGTTCAGCTGAGTGCAAGACGCGCCCCTCATCGGTCGAGGTGTTGGCCATTACCATGCGTGGTGAGTTTTTGTGGGCAGTTTCTCGTGAAAGTGCTTAATAAGCTGCCACGATTGTGCGCGGCCCGCGGAAACATGAAGCGTAATATCTGTGGTCGGGTATGTCACATTGCACAGCGCCCTAAGCGCCGTTTTCGCTGGACTCCGGGAAAAGCCGTGTAGTAGCACTCATTTATCTTGTGAGGACGGACTGCGAAGCTGATGGGGCCTATGGATAAGTTTGTTATCGGGACTTCCCACGTCCAGAATGTGTGGAATGCCTCTGTGGTACTTTTGGATTGACTCCATGCGCCAGATTTTCCTATGTCGTTAGTGATATTTTGCAAATTGTAGGTTTGCCGCTGGTTCAATGAAAAACAAGTACAACATAGTGGTGCTTTCATTACGGTAGCATTTGAGTGAAGTGATTCACATTTGCTTTTGGGTTTTGAACTGAAATAACCATGTGGAATATCCTTCAGTGCAGTTCACAGTCCTGCCGTCCTTAAGACTTTCCGAAACCTTAATTCTTAATCTTCTTCTAAATCTTGCAATTGAGCAAAAGCATTTGAAGAGGGTGATTCACATCTGTGTGGGGTTTTGAACTGGAATGTAGTCTTGAATATCCTTTGGTGCAGTTCACAGCCCTGACCTGCTTAAGGCTTAATTCCTAATTAGCATTTTTAATGCTTAACCTTCTTAATCTTCTTACACCGTTTTTAGTTTCTGAGCTGCACGCCGGCTAAGACGTGAAGACTTTTTCGGGAAAACAATTTCAGAGTCACCTAGACATCCATGGTATCACAATGACGTCATTCAAACCCTGCCATTCCATTGGTGATGCGGCGATCAGCAGCATATGTACTAAGCAGTAAATGTATTGGCTGTAGCAGCCTTTTTCACTGAAAAGGATGCCACTAGTTCCAAGTGACCTTATTTCATCATACCTGATGCTTGCTTCATGATCTTCAAATGTGAAACATTCCCTTGAAACCATGGCATTTCGGCCAACTGCTGAACATAAAAGTGTCCATTTTAATCGTTGTCCCGAATGTTTAGCGATGGAAGAACTGCTGTTATACCCACAGCTTTCTACTCAGTTAAAGTTAGATGAGTAGACTGTTTGACATGAGCAAATTTGTGAGACTGATCCATACAGAAGTGGAGCATTCGGCACTGCGCGAGTAGGTGAGGCGTAAAATAACCGTTCGTGAATGGTGTGCGAGAGAAAATTGAATCTTCTTATTTTTCGCGATGCGTTCTTGTAGTTCCTTTCAAACTGTATCCTATCCGAAAAACTTTTTATCATGCTTTAGTAGAACCTATTTCTGATGGGTGTGTTGAAATGAGCAAGGTCGCCTGGTGACTTTGCCTACTCTTATTCTTGTAGGGTTTTTCTTCTTTTTTTTTTGGCTGGCCGAATCCTCTTTAAGTGACCATTTCTGCACATGACTGCCATAGAGCATAGCTAGCCGTCATAAAGGACACAGCGCCCCGAGTTTGACGGGTAAATGTATGGTACGATTCGTGAGTTATGACTTGTCCATGTCTTGTCCGTATCGCAATGTGTTAAAATAAGGTGTCAGCATGTTCCCGCGAACCTATAACCGACCTTGCATCATGTGCAACACGTGTGTTTTAACACAGCCTATCATTAGTTCCCAGCGGGTATTCCGGGCGCGGGCGCGAAGCGTCATTGCGTCCCCCCAAACATCACACCCCAGATGACCTATGCATTAACTGATTGCAGTACACCCATCAGATAGAACCTTATGCTTTAAATGCCGAATTAAGCTACGGTGACATGACATCAGCTGTCTTGAACTGATGTTGAAGGTCTTTGAAATAAAACTAGCGGAGACTTCATGTTAAACCTTTTTGTTCTCAGGTCGTTTCAAGTTGTGGCTCCCCACCTGAATTTGTCCACCGTGGAAGATGTGCTGGGAGGTCACGAACATGGACATCGTGCGGTGTGGTATTTATACAGCCTCTCCGGTGAACATGTCGACCGTGATTCACGAGGAGGTTTTCATCACGCGGCAGAATCTGAAGTTCCACTCACCTGGAACGTCGCTTTCTGCGTTCGTGGCGACCCTCCAAGCACTGGGACAAAAGCATGGATCTGTGAGTTAACTATGGGTTGATAGCGGCGGGATGCTTGATTCCAGCATTGAATCACCTTTGCAATCCAATGAATCGTGGTTTTTGGTGCAGTCATATTCTCGCCCTGTAACCTCTGCCCTTTTAAGCGAATTTACTATCAGCAGTGTGCACCTCATTGTTAATATGTTTCCAGGGATAACGTCGTACGACGGAAAAAAGCTGCCCAATATTATTGCTGAGCCTGAGGCTGGGCTTATGAACAGAAATAACGACCATCCGCTTTTGCGTTATGCGGCATGTGAATGAAGTTCTAAAATTGTATAGGGAGACGAACATATATTTTAACGACTTTAATAACTGAATTATCGAAAGTTGGGATCGCTTAGAAGTAGGGTCGGCATTTCAGCAACCCAAAACTGTTTCCTGTCACCGACGTGGTTTAAAGACAGAAGTGGACATGCATACCTAAGTACGCCATGGCCGGTAAGCAAGCGCACACGTGGTATGGAATTCCTTGGCAGAAGTATCTACGCAAAATTTCTTACGCAATTTTCCGTGAGCCGATGCGCGGTATTGAATACGCATGAAAAATGTAGGTATTGGCACAAGTTTTTTCAAGTTTCTATGCATTGGGCATGTACGCAACTCTTTGGTACTGATTACGTATAAGCAAATGTTCGTAATGGATGAAGTTGGTTTGACAAATGTACCTCCGCTAGAGTTCGTAAGCGGTATAGGCGAAGTATCGGGGGTCCGTGTGTGCACACCCACTTTCCACGAATGCTGAACATTAAACCTAGTACACTCCATTGAGAAAATTGACTCCGAGATGCTGAATGATGCTTTCATGCTGAGTTGCCCAGGGCAAAATTAGATCCTGAGGACGATGGGAGTCATGGATCTGAGTGAGCAAAATCTGGCCGAATTCGGCGTGCTGGGTACAGGTGATACTCGTGGCCAGCGTTGGGTTCAGTGCAAGCGAGGCCTGAATCAAGCAAGTCCAGGCGATTGGCTATTTCTCTTGGCCTCATATCTACGAAATAAGCCACTGTATTCAGCCATCATTGAGCCATTCCGGCCGCCACTGAGTAGCTGGCAACGCGGCTCTTTCCACGATGTTCTTAAACGAAAGCTCTTTCACGGCTATCGTTTCTTCACGAAGCCGCTTCGCCTGGGCTCTCCAATTTGCGTGAGTAGGCGCACAGCGGGAACTGGTGTCCTTAAAACGTACTTCCTGAACGTATGCCGTCGGTACGTGATCGGTGCTGGCCCCAATGGAGGGCGAACCGTATCTCACGCTGTTCCCACCACGAACCGGTGGCGGCGTTATCTTCGTGGAGGTGGGACAAACGCGTGCACCTAGCTGCTTTACATACACCGCAATAAGGTCGAAGTCAACTGACGCGAATGGCCGGGGCAGTCGAGCCCCCGCCTTGCCTCATCCATCGTCTTCACCGCGAAAAGCGCTGTTTATGGGGGATCCAAGCGAACGTTGGTCCGTCGGTGCGGACGCTTGTGAGTCTGTGGTTTTCCGATATGTTCACCGCGAGTTGCGTAGCGTGCGCACGTTCTGACCGTTTGATAACAGCATGTCTAAACTTGGGGTCAACTCAGATCTGTCTAATTCAGGGCTAATTGTGACCATCTAATGCGTTAAGAGAATGATGGGGACAAGAAAATTGGGCGGCATGCTGTAAGCAAGTTCCAGTACGCAACAAGCTCGAAGAAAGCGTGTAACAACTTAAGTTAAGTTGAGTCGTCTCCAAAGCGAATATGCACGTCGCGCGGTCTACGCATAGTGTCAGCCTTGGTTCCTCTTTATCCAGCTGATCATCAGGAGGGATTTTCGCGATTGGAAGACAGACTTCGCCCTTTCAAGATTGCGCACTACATATGCAGTACAACGTGCACACTGGTTACTTACAAACTTGTATTCTCTTGTAGCATCCCCGTGCATCTCTCAAGTAGGCGACATCATCGTCTGATGCAGAACAGTGGGGAGCTGGCGAACAAGGATCGATGAAGCTGGGTTAGGCATTGCACTATACATATGTTCTGCAGCAACCACACTAGTCACTTGCAAAGTTTTATTTTCTTGTAGCGTCGCTGTGCATCTCTCAAGAAGGGGACGTCACCGTGAGATGCAGAACAGCGGGGAGCTGGTGGACAGGGATCGAGGAAGTTGGGTTATGAATTGCACTATACATATTATTCAGGTCTTACGTGTTCTGTCTGCCCAAACCAGACACGAGCGCTGCGAGACGGCAACTGTATTAACCCGCGAGGCGAGCGGACGGCGCCGACCCCGGCGGGCGGCGCCCCAGGCAGTACACCGCCAGTCGGGGCAGCGGCGTACCGAGGTGCAGCAGCACTGGCGGCGCGAGCAGGGGCGGTCCCAGGCGCACGCCAGTAGCATCATGATGCACATATGTTCTGCAACAACCACACTCGTCACTTGCAAACGTTTATTCTCTTGTAGCATCCCTGTGCATCTCTCAAGTAGGTGACGTCACCGTCAGATGCAGAACAGCGGGGAGCTGGTGGACAGTGATCGTGGGGGCTTAGCTGGCGGGGATCGAGGGAGTCTGGCTGGCGGGGATCGAGGGAGTCTGGCTGGCGGGGATCGAGGGAGCTGGATTGGTGGGAAGCTGGTGAGCGGGGATCGTGGGAGCTTTGTTGGCGAGCAGTGGGAAGGCGAGGAACAAGGTATCTGGGCAGGCGGTGAACAAGGGAGCTGGGCTGGCGGGGAACAAGGTATCTGGGCAGGCGGTGAACAAGGGAGCTGGGCTGGCGGGGAACAAGGGGGCTGGGCTGGCGGGGAACAAGGGAGCTGGGCAGGCGGGGAACAAGGGAGCTGGGCTGGCGGGAAACGGATGGGCTGAGAACAAGAGAGAGCCGGACTGGCGAGGAGCCGATGGGCTGGGAGCAGGAGGGCTGGGCTTGGGGGAGGCGGATGGGCCGGAAACAAGAGGGCGGGGCTGGCGAGCAGCGGATGGGTGCGGATCGGGGAGTCGGGCTGGTGCAGAGCAGTTGGACAGGGAACATGGATGGTTGGAGCGACAGCAGGTGACAGTTCCTGTGACAGTTGTGCTGCGGAGGTTTCGCTCGCGCACCTGGCACAGCGAAAATCGCCGTATCTTCGAAGTTGCTGTGTCGCTCTGCATCGTAGCCCAGCACCTATGCAAAGCATTACACGTGTTGCCTGTGATTACAATTAAATAATGATACAAGGCAAACGACTGTATGACAGTGTCGCCCAACGAGACATGCAAGTGCACAAACGACAATGTTCCGTTAAGGAAAAATCAATACAGATGACGTGGGCCTCTTGGGCCCAGGCGTCCGTCATCGTTGCATAGTCGTAAAAGTTTGGTAGCGCAGTTGACAGCTAAGCTCGACCGAGGATAGAAGGAATGTTTTGCAATGGTCAGGAATTTTCGTGTAGGACAATGGTGTAGCAGGGAGGTACAATAATCGGTGTTAGTTTCTAGAAAACTCGGTGTTAGATGTTTAGATCTGTAAAATAATTAGTGAACTGAAACAAGAGAACAAAAAGTCCGTTTTTTTGGCCAGGCATTTTCATCATTTTCTTTTAACCACGGCTTCGCCACCTGATTGACATTTCAGGTCAGAGTCATGAGTCGCTAGTCACATAAATTACGGTTTAGCAAACCAGTTACTAGATAAGAAATTCACACATCTGCCATGCCGTTTACTCTAACGCATTCACGCACATTCCTCTGTCTTCTCCATGCTCATTCATACCTCATTCTTGTACTCTCTTCTGCCTACGCAAACGTCCACATATCACACATATGCTACACGTAGTTCCTATACCACTTCCTTGCTTTTCACACTTCTCAAGCATTCGTTCAGACATCGTACAAAGATATACCAGTAAACTTATATTATACAGAAAATAAACAACTCATTTCAAACAAATACAACATAGTATAAGCAACATGGCAACAGTCGATGACAGCGCATCAAAAATTGCACCTGTCCAGTACGCGAAGGCAGCACTTCACAATCGTTTCAGTAGATCACAGCGTCGCAAATATCTCAGCACTTCATCATGATGTTTGGGAATTCATTTCCTGTCAGAGACCTCAGACAGAATTGTGCTCCTGACCGTTGACATAATGTTACCAACGGCTTTTCATGACAGTATACAGGACATTCAAGAACGATGTGATGTACTGTTAGTGGACATTGACAACTTTCACCTTGATGCTGGGGGTTTCTGTCTATCATATAGGAGTGGGTATAACGAGTATACCCAAGTCTCAGCCGGCACGGCACTATCTTATCACGTCTGCTTGTTAGTCGGAGCCACACTTGGGTGACGCACAGCTGCAGCTTACGACCTCAGGACAGGGGGGTCGTGGTCTTTCTCATGCTGCCTTCTAGCCGGAGGGTATGAGAGTTCTTGTGCAGTTTTAATCCCACATGTCTCCTTTTCTTTTTTCCATATTTCACACCCTTGGCCATACACGAGTGTCCTGACTGTTTGCCGTTCAAACACCAGCGCTCACATTCTCCACCATGTTTTCCTTTCCCACAACGAAGGCATGGCGGATCGCTGGGGCACCTTGCGCCAGTGTGGCCCAATCTGCCACAACCAAACACATCAGTGGGTTGGGGACATCTTGGTGGGCACGGTATATGATGTAATCCAGTTCCAGTTTGGCTTGGCATGAGGACCTGTCAGAAGTCAAAAGTGTGGTTGGGGTATTCTCCATCCTTCCATTCACCCTCTTGGTGAATCCCCGAGCACCCACCACCCCAAATTCACCCAGCCATCCCACAATCTCAGTCTCGGACAGATCCACAAGGTCATATACATTGATGGTTTCCCTGCATGTGTTCATTCGGTGTTCACGAACAACCTCGCACTCCTCATCCCCAAACTTTTTTCATGAACTGTTCAGTCTGTCCTGACATGATTCAGTCTGGCATGATTTTTTGTTTTTACCAGAAGGCTGCCTGCAGCCAGAAGATTCTCCTTTTCTACCTTATCA